CCCCAGGGACAGAGAGGTGAAGGGTGGGGGGTGGCAGCTCCACCCCATGCGAGAGCCACCACGAGGACTGACAGAGACCGTGTCTGGGCTCACGGGCACCTCTGGGAGCACAAGTGACCAGACACCTCCTGTAGCTCTTGCACACCAAGCAGTCCTCTGTGACCACCCCTGCCCCGCCGGCTGGGCACGGGATGCCCTCCTCCCCTAACCAACACAGTGAGGTTTGCAGACTCCCCACCTTCTACCTCCAAACCTCTCAAAATGGCTGTACGAACCCTCCATGGAGCCACCATGGACCTTATCGTGTCCCTATAAATAGCACTCCCGCCTGAGCCACACGGTGGAGTCTGTTCCCCAAAGTTAATCACCCACCTTTTCTCACTCACAAAGTCTCTGCCCGATACAAACTCCTTCCCAAAAGAAGGATAAAAGTCGACAAACAAGCTTAGTTCGGTGCGAGATCTGGGGACACCCTTTGGCCCTTCCGGACCCCCAGCCTCCACTCAGGTGTGGGGGGCAGGCCCAGCTGAGCAGAGGACCGCACTGGTCTGGCAGCTTCCAGAGCAGGGTGCTTGGGCGGGTGGGGCGCCCACACCCTGTCCCTCCTCCCTGGATGCCTGGGGGCTCTCAGGGTCTTCTTTCTCCCCGTGTCAGGGGTCAGGAAAATGGTAGGGGCACTGGGGGCGGAGTCTTCCTAACGGGATTTGCTGGCATCCCCATGCAGTGCCGCCTGCCCGCGTCCCCAGTCTGTTTCTGGAGCGGCGGGTTGTCTGACGCCCCAGGCCTGGGCTGGCCCTCCCTCACATTCAGTCTCAGCCCATCTGCTGCTGATCCGCTTCCAGGAGTGGCCCCCAACCTCATGTTCCAAGCCTTCCAGGGACATGCTTTATCTCAAAACCCCTCGGTGTCTGCCTGCTGGGGACCCGTGCATTTGCGAGCTGCAGGAGCATGCTGCTGGTGCAGGCCTCCGGCGACTCCCTCACCTCTGTGGCTACACAACCCCAGCTTCTCCGGGCCCTGCACTAGACCACCTCTGCACCCTCGGTCCTCTCTCGGCCTGCTCTGGTCTCTGCTTTCAGGCTGGGAGCTTCTTCTGTGCCCGTCATCTTGGCCTTCCGCTCAGGCTGAGAGGGGCCCTACATGCACACGGCCTCAGGGCAGGGGGACTAACGGGACTGAGCCCCCAGGGCCACCAGCAGCAGGTTGTCCCACACAGAGGCTTGCAGAACAAAGGAACCTGTGCGGTGCCTGGGGGCTCAGTCGGATGAGCTTCCAGTTCTTGGTTTTGGCTCAGGTTATGACCTCAGGGCCATGGGATCAAACCCTAAATTGGGCTCTGTGCTCAGTGGGGAGTCACCTTGAGATTCTCTCCTTCTGCCCCTCCCCCCACTTGTGCACACTCTCTCTCCCCCCCTTTTTCAAATAAATAAATAAATAAAATCTTTAACAATATACATAAAATAAATAAACCAAGGAACTTGCATGGACGACCAGGTGCCAGAGCTACAGGAGCCTAGTGTGTGGGATCAAGCCGGCTCGGTACGCATCCTCTCTGCCTTCTTGAGTCCCAGGCAGAGGCCTGGCTGGCCTGGACCCCTGAGCTCAAACCTGGGCCCTGGACCAGCTACCTCAGCGACTCCATGCTGGGTTCTGGAGCACAAAATGTGAGAACAGCTGCAAGTACCCATTCAGTCTGCTGTGCCCAGAGCCTGCCCCAGAGCACACGGTCAACAAGGGTCCCCAGTCACAGAAAGCATCCCCAGGAGTGAAAGGCCAGAGCCAGGCCCGTTTCCCAGCCCAGAACCATCAGGTACCCAGGGTGGTTTTCATGGAAAACAACAGCAAGCAAGCCCACCAACACTGTTAGACCGAGTGCGTTCCAGACTCAAGGAGCACCGTGTAGACTCACGACCACGCTGCTCACACAGGAGAACCAGGTCCAGGTCTCAGGGAGCACTGGGCAACAACCTGGTCTGGCTGGACATTAGCTATTAACCAGCTCTCAGTAACGTGCTGGTCTGAGCACATGACTGCAGATTCTTTGGCACGGCTCCCATAACAAGGCCAGCTTCTACTGCCCCTTGAACAGTGACTTCCAAGACTCTAGTGGGAGAGGCCCTACAAAGGCCTGGTTCTCTTGCAGGACACGCCCCAAAGTCACTGCGCTTGGAGAGACCTAGAGCCTGGGGGGGCCCTGCCACTCAGCCTTCCCAGGTACCAGAGGCAGAGTGAGGATGCCCGCAAGGAGGCGCTCCAGCCCAGGCCCCCCCCCCCCCACCCGGCCAAAACCCCCCCTCCCCGCTCCCCCCCCCCCCCAAAGACCGCCAGACCAGCTGGTTGAGAATTCTGGGCCCCTGACACCAGGAGCAATAATAAGTGGTTTACTGTTGTTTGAAGCCACCAATTGTGGAGGCTTTGCTAATGCTGCCAAGCAAGTAAATAAGTGACACTTAACAGAGCCAAACGGAGCCAAACTTGCCTCCCATGCTGCTGGAGCCAGGCCTTGGTATCACTCCTGCATCACACAGAGGGAAAGGGGCCACATGCTCACACTCACACTCCAGGGATGAGGCACGCAGGGGGAGCTACTGCAGACCCCCAAAATCACTCAACTATTTTCATTTGGTGGAACCTGGGGTACAACTCCATTTGAGGGGTTCCGTACCTTCTTTAACAGGGCACACACATCGGTCCTGTCTTCAGCGGTTCCTGGAAAAGCCTAAGGCAAAGCCCTGTGCTGGCGCTATTGAGACACTGGACATCTTTTTTGAAAAGACTTCAAAACAAAAAGACAAATGTCATCCGTCCTAATGAACCAACATCGTGCTAACATTAACACCTACGATTAGAGGGTTTGGACAGCCACACGTGGAATTTAAGGGTGCACAGAAGGGGCGCCTGGGGGCACTCAGTCTGTTGAGCGTCGGACTCTGGGTTTCGGCTCAGGTCAGGATCTCAGGGTCGTGACACTGAGCCCGGCGTTGGGCTTTGCGCTCAGCACAGAGTCTGCTTGGGATTCTCTCTCTCCCTCTCCTTCTGCCCCTCCCCCCGCATGTGCACGCGCGCTCTCTAATAAATCAATACATCTAAAGGCGCACAGAAACCTCCTCTGAGGGGATACCTCTGCAAGTCAACAAAGAAGAAACTCGCATCTTAAAATACACTATCACTGTTCCCTCGACTGCTATGTGGGAACTGTACCCCACTGAACAAAAACTGCAGCCAGTAACTTCATTCTGAGAGGACAGACGTAAGGCGGGCTCTGCTGGACTGGAAGCAAGACCGGGTCCGGCCTCACTGGGCTCTCCCAAGCAGGGGACCGCACCTCCCTGGGCCCACCTTCCCGCACTGAAAACAGAAAAGAACCACGCGCTTCACGAGGTCACGAGGAATCAAATGACGTGACACACGTGAAAATGCCCAGGTCCCTGGGACATGCTTAGAATGGCGGCCACTCAGAGCAGATGCTCAAAAGACTGTGAAAGTCAACTTTCCTTCAAGAAATACTACTGCAGAAAAAGCCAAAGTGGTTTCTAGAAAAATTTCAATTTGCTTTAAAAAAAGAAAAAAAAAAAAGTCTGAGGGCACCTGGGCGGCTATCGGTTGGGCATCTGCCTTTGGCTGCGGTCATGATCCCGGAGTCCTGGGGTGGAGCTCCGTGTGCGGCTCCGTGTGCGGCTCCCTGCCCGGGGGGTGTCTGCTTCTCCCTCTCCTTTTGCCCCTCCCCCCAACTCACACGTGCCCTCTCCCGAGCTCTCGCTCTCAAATAAGTAAATAAAATCTTTTACAAAAATAAAATAATCTTTAAAAAGTTTGTTTCGAATGTTTCCAAGGCACCTGTGAAAAACAGCTGTGTGTTCTCCGGGATCCTTTGCCTCCCGGTAAAAAGCTGCCCGTTCCCTGTGTGTAACTAGGTAGGGTCCCCGTACATCCACTTAAAAAAAAAGTGACGATAACTTTGGTGTTTCCTCTATATTTGCAATCAGAACTGCTCTCTTTTCTACGGCACCAAGTCCAACCAAGTCGAGAAAATACCGGGCTCCACGGACACCGCACGCTGCCCCCACAGCAGGGACCGCAGGGCCCACCGGAGGGCCCGGGCTCCCGAACCGCCGTGCAGCCCAGGGCCCGCGGGGGAAGCCGCTGCCACTGCCCGCGGCACAACGGGGCCTCGGGAGGGGCCGAGGGCAGCAGACCCGGGAGGTGCCCGCGGAGGGAAAGTCACGGGAAGACCGCAGGTAGGACGGTCCCAGAGAACCGCGCTCTCGACCCCAGCTTGACAAGAGGCCGGTGCGTCCGACGAGTCCTAGCTTTTTCCCGCTCGTCCAGGGGGCTGTCACCGCCCGTGGCGGACCTGCTCTCCTCCGGGACGCACTGCAGGCCGTGCGGCGCCCCAGGGCTGGTGCAAGCAGCAGAATCTACTCCAGCGTCGGGCAAGGAAGCCCGTTCCTGAGGCCAGACTAACCCACCGTCCGAAGCTCCCGGCGCGCGGAGACCGCTGCACACTTCGCTCTCCGTGTCGGAAGGCGCCGTCCGTCGGCGGTGGGCGCCCCGGGACAAGGTGCACCCCCTCGAGCCCACGAGCCCCGGCCCGCCCGGCCGCCCCTCGGTCGCGGCGGAAGGCCGGCCTCCCCGGGCTTCGCCGGCGGTCCCGGCCGGCTCCCCGCCCGCTGCGGCCACGGAACGACAGCCGCGCGCCCCGCCCCCGGGGCCCCCGCGTACGCAGCCCCTGCAGCCAGCGGGGCCAGGAGACCCAACGCCGGGTCGTGAGCCCTCGGCGCCCCGCCGGCCCCGCTCTGAGTCCAGCCGCGAAAGCGCCCGGCGCCGACGAGAACGTGGGAAAGCGCGGGGCCGCGCGGGCCGAGCTCCGCGCGCTGACAGCAGCGGGGACCGTCCGGCCCAAGTTCACGCGCGGCCCCGCGCGGGGGACGCGCGCGCACGGCCGCGGGGGCGCGCGCGCACCCGGTCGGGGCCTCGCGGGCCGACGCCGGGCCGCGTACCTGAGTACGGCCGAGCGACGGCGGCCACGGCCGGACGGGCAGAGCGCGGAAGGCGCCGGCCCAGCCCAGGCCGTGTCCCTCCAGCGAGGAGCCAGGCCTGGCCTCAGCAGTGGCGGAACACCACCGCGGCCGGCGCCCCGCCCCCTCCGG